CCTGGCAATGAGAGGAGCCATAAGATCCACCAAGTACTGAGGAGCCTGCTGCGGCCCTGGTGGTGCCTGCTGAGGCTCGGACTGAGCTGGCTGCTGCTCTGATGGAGTCTGCTGTGACTCCGCCTGGGTAGCTCTCCTAGTACGGGTCTACCACGTCCTGCCATCTCTCTGATCATAAGAAAATAAAAGTTTATGAGTCAAAATAAACTTCTATAAATAGCGTATCACAATACAATCTTCACAACATATAGTATTCACACAAAATACTTTAAATTTGCAAAATAGTTATCATAAAAAAAAAATTTCCTCAAATTTTGAAGTATACGCATATATCGTCCTCACTCATACTAGAAAATCCTTACGGACTCTATACATGAATCCTAGGAAACTCTATCCTAGCTCCACGACTCGACACAGGATGATCCTAAGGATACTGGAACTAGAGCTCTGATACCAACTGTGACGCCCCAGGGTTCACACAAGGCTGAAGTCCAAGGTGAAACCAAGAGTGTCAAACCTGTTATGCACCACACCGTGCAATAACATGTTTCACCATCACAATTTTATCACTCTAGTGGGTCAATAATAGGTGTAGGTACAAAAGCAAGTAAGAGATACTACAAGAGATAACTGATGAAACGATAAAGATCAAATAGTATTTCATCATCCAACACACAGGAATATAAAGTCAATGTCTAAAATGAACAAACTGGAGTTCTTAATACATCTCAAATACAACAAGTCTGAATAAAGGAAATAAGGCACACAGCCTTTACAACATCTAGAATAAAGTCCTCAAATGTCTAAACAAAGCATAGCTAGAATAGACAGTCGAATACTAAAGTGTGTCGCCATCAACCTGCGACTCTCCGGGCTCCTGGCTCGTGACCTGAAAGGGGGAGGGACAACGAGCGTCAAAGCGCTAGCGAGCAACATCACAACCAACCCCAGTGGAGAGGGCTCGTTGTAAGAAAATACAGTTATCACAAGGTATATAAATATATATATAAACAATTACCCTAACAATAAACAATGGGTCTTGGTACTTATGAAGTTTCAACACGGGCATAGGTACGTCGAGCGAAATAATCCAAACAAGGAAACCCTCATGTATATACCTTGTATCCCAAATTGAAACTCCTTAAGTACCAAACCCGGAGTCTAATATGTAAACAGAAATAAGCAAAAAGAAAATACAACATGTCTCCGAACATATATATATATATATATTGCGTTATGTGACGTGAAATGGATTATAGTCCAACACGAGGACTTCTATGGATTATAGTCCAACACGAGGACTGTGCAACTAAGCAAGTATTAGTGATATACAAGGTATGGTTTACTTATGCAAAACTCACACTCAACTCGTCGTGTGATTCTAGGCAAGTATTTCAGGCCATCTATCATGCATAGATGCTTAGTACAACTGAAGATCAAAGTTAGGTGATCGAGGCAAGCGCTCTAACGAGTGTACTATACAGCAGAAATAAACAGGTATTAGTGATATACAAGGCATGGTTTACTTATGCAAAACTCACACTCAACTCGTCGTGTGATTCTAGGCAAGTATTTCAGGCCATCTATCCTGCATAGATGCTTAGTGCAACTAAAGATCAAAGCTAGGTGATCGAGGCAAGCGCTCTAACGAGTGTACTATACAGCAGAAATAAACAGGACAGGAAAACTGTGCGGCGGTCGACCGCAGAACCCACTCCGGTCGACCGCTCGCAGGCCTGAGAACCACTGGGCTCAGAAGCTGAGCGGCGGTCGACCGCAGAGGTCATGCCGGTCGACCGCCCAAAGGGCAGAAGCAATTTTGCTGGCAGAAAAATGCGACGGTCGACCGCTGAGTCCTCTGCGTTATTACTGAAAAATATGATTCTTGCACCTCAAGCCATAAGATCTACTTTATCTACAAAAATACGATTTGGGCTCAATAAAAACCGGATGAAAACTCAAATCTAAGCATAAAAACGAAAAGGGATGAAGTTGGGCGAGATGTTACTCGCCTACGACGAAAACGAAGCCCTGGATCTGGAGGAAGGTGATCCCTCTCGCTGAATCCACCAAAAATCCGCTGAAAAACCCTCCAAAGCTCCTCCAAATCACCAAAGAGTGAGAAACTAGGGTTTTAGGGGAGAGAGGGGGCTAGGGTTCTTATTTCAGATCAAAAGAGCTCTCTCCCGGGTTCATTAGATTATATACTAACCCCTAGACCCGACCCGAAACCCGCTAAGACCCGAAACCCAGAAAACTCTCTGTCTGTTGGGCGGTCGACCGCCGCGCTCAGTGCGGTCGACCGCACAGCAGGAAAGAAATTTCCTGAGTGCGAGACCGATGGGCGGTCGACCGGCATGACTCCTGCGGTCGACCGCTCAGAACAAGAAAACACCAACAGAGATGATTATGAACTTGGTGCTCACACCAATCAAAACCTCTCCCATATGCACACTAATATAGTTCTCAAAACACTGATATACACCTTCTATATGTGTATGCATAAATACATATGTGATTAATATTATTTTCTTGCTAGTACATCAATATACTCATTTAAAAATTTTTATGAGGTTTTACAAAATTTAACCTTTAAGGAGTGATAATTACATTCTTTAATGCTCTCACTTTTATCATTTTTCATCTTTCATGCGATAGATCTCAAAGACAGAAGGTAGGTCGTGCAAAATCAAGAGTTTTGTCACAAAGGTCTGATCTTTTAGCCTATTATCTGTCTCATGTGAAATTTTGAGTTTATTTGTTATTTATGAGTAATTAATATTTTAGTTGGATTATAGTTTTGTTTATTTTTCCTAAACTGGAAAGATATTATCTTTTTTTAGCCTTTATTGCATGTTAACTGTTTATGGCAGTATATTTGGTTAGCATTTGTTGACACGAAGACATGCAAATGCGAGTCTTCTACATTAAATAATTGCATTCTGGTACATGGATATTGAAATTAGGGCTAACGTTGTTATCACCAGATTATTTATGCATAATATAAATTTTTTCCTTGAAATTTTGGTTAGATTTCTTTGTAGAAAAATCTATCAAAGTTATTCTATATTTTGAAATATGTGGTGATTTTTGTTGTCTAGTTTTTTAGCCGTTTTTATTATGCAGAATTCAGAATGTGTTCTATATGTTAAAGGTAAATCATTAATTTTGATTTATTCAAATGTTGTATTCTTATTTTCCTACGACTATCTGGTAATTTATTTTTTCTCTTTTAATAGAAGCAACAATCATATATTGCTCTAATTTCACTAAATGTTATGACATGCTGTTTAGGTAATATGTTGTCGATCATCTATGATAAAAATGAAGTTTTATTTTGTTTGTCTTTGTTTTTTCTTTTTTTTTGTTTTATATTATTTTGTTCTTTATAGTGGGCTTTGACTTGAAACAATTGATTGTATGGATTTATTGTATATTGTTGCAAGTTTTATTTATTTGTTTAGGCAATATATCGAATTGAATTGAATAATGTAGGATGTTGTTGCCTTCATTTGCATTATCGTGTAATCAATGTAGGATTGCAGTAGAAAAAGGGGAAAAGAAGCTATTTTCCTTGACTTTTCTTTTATGCATTAAATCAGAAAAAATAGATGTATATGCTTGCATGTGGGAAAAAAATTTAAGCCAAAACAGGGCTACAATTGTTCTCAATATGTTGGTACCCTTTGTGAGGTTAAGTTGTTATTGTTTTGTAGAAGATCTTGTAATTAGAGCAATTTAATAGTAAATTGGATCGTTTTCATATTTGGGTGACTTATCTTCTTTTGTGGTTGGAACCAATTTGTTATAATATGATATTTATCTTATTATTGACTGAATGAATTTTGCATTTCAAAAGGATTGTTTTCATTACTTGTTTAGTTTTTAATGAATAAATGTTGTTGGTGTACAGAAATTTTAAATGAGTATTTATTTATTAAATAATAATATCAAAAAACAGGTGCATAACAACAGTAATAATAATAAGTTTGCAAATTAACAGGAGATGAAAACACCATGATAATGAAGGCACTATTCTTTATGATTTGATTTGGTTCCTGGCCTAAAGAAGTAGTAGATGTAATGCAAATAATTAATTTTTGTTAATAAATGAACAAAAGAAGCATGAACTATATAAATACGAAATGTCAACATACTTAAGAGTTTATACTCATAAGTCACACATTAGTAATATACATAGCAAATAGAAACATCACTGGTTGTTATCTTCCAAGGTTCTTTTCTCATCGAGTATGTGTTGAGCCTTTTAAAGTCACAATTCTAGATGTCAATCTTCATTTCAGTCTAATGCAACGTCCTCTTGTTATCTGCATGTAAGAAATAATTTAATAAGTTAATGGTTTTAATACTTAGGCATTGGTTCTACACTTATTTTAAGCGTTTGGATTACATAATTTTATAATAATAACAATAACAATCATTATACTTATAATGAACATTAATTTGACATCACCTTGCACTTGATGTATTTTAGATGAATGTCCTTTCTGCTCGTTTGATTCCTCATCCATGTTTATAATTTTTAGTGGTGTTTTGTTGTAAGCTTTTTCCGATTTTATATCCAATAATGGTGCAGGCATAGGTGTGAGTCCGGTTTTATAAGATGCTATTGTTTGCGGAGTCGGTGGTGGCGCATCCTCAAGTAAATTAATGATTGATGCCTCTGCAGTCTCCTCTATTACTTTGGTTATTGTGAAACCTTCATTACCTTCCACAAAATTATATCGCGTTAGTTTTACCTGAACCTTAATACATTTTCCAGATATGGCTTTTATCACTTCCGGGAAAACTTCTCTACCATTAACCTGATGATCAGTGAATAATATTTTTTAAGCACGTACTGAATGTGTTATAAAATGTGTTTCAAAATACTTTAATAGGAAGATGTACTCACATATTTTATTGTTCGTGCAACCTCTTGAGCTGGTATTTTCACCAATTTTTCAGCTTCCTTGTTCATAACAACGAAAGTAGTTTTCGCAGATTCATCTTGAACTTCCATAGTTATCCTGTAGCTGTATAATTTTTTTTCCAACTCATTGATTATCAAAGTCATTATTTGGTATGTAATTGTGGTTCATATTGTAAATATTTACATACCTATTTTCTGCAAATACCTCTCTGTCACACTTTGCGCACCAAAAAGTATATTCCGCATCAATTATTTTCTTAAAACAATCTGGACATCCGCGATAACGCCATTTTTGGTTATCCATTATAGTATTGATTCTCACATTGCATATAAAGAAATATTCCTTCAAATTACAAAGATGTATATTAGCTATAGAATAGATAATTAGTTTGCACAATTGATAGGCCATCTTTTAAAAACTTCATTACCTCAGCGGTTTCTGGATCATTGAATAAAATAAGATCGCTCAAAGATGCAGATGGTGTTTCAAACAATTTCTGCTTTGATTTGTAATTAATTGGTGTCTTTATTAGCTGCATCTGTGTTTCCGACTCCATGTACAATTTCTGCTTTGATTTGTAATTAATTGGTGTCTTTATTAGCTGCATCTGTGTTTCCGACTCCATGTACCTATGTATATATGCTCAGAAATCATATGTCAGTACATATAATTTAATTACGTATGTCAAAATATAAAGATACTAAAATTACCTTTGAGATAATTCCACTACTCTTTGTTCAGGTATGTTCACGTAGATTTTGGTAGCCGTGCTTGATGACACAGAATTATTGCCTGAAATTTTCTGTGCAAAGTTATGCGGAAAGTATTATCTTTACTTATGTATTGATGAAAGCAATATTTATTACATGTATAATTGTTCATCTTACCTCTAAAATTAGTAACAAATATTCCACTGACCACCATAACCATGTTGTTTGGATCTTGTTCTATCAATGCGCTCTCTAGATTTGTAGCAATTTGGTTCCATAAAGTAACAGTGCATTCTATGTTTCTGATTTGTATAAGAGATATAAAGTTTTAGGTTCAAGCATAAGTAAATATAATTAACAGTTAGATTAGGTGATGAATAAGATAACTCTCACTCTTCATCGATTAGTTTTAAGGCTCTCCTAGTCCCTGGCTTTCCGGAAATGACAGTTTGCTCCAAGGGATATATATCTTTCACATACCCAATTATATATGTATTGAAATTGAAATAAGCAAAGATAAGAGAGGTAAGTTATATAAGGTTTATTGCATAATCTGCATTGAACTATATCATGTTGCAAAAATTATAATAAAAGTTTACCTGCCAAATAAGTCATGTTTCCTTTCATTCTATAAAGCTCATTGAATGGTTTATAGTTGAACTTGTACCTATGGATATTGTCGTCGTCTTCTTGTAGTACTTGAACTTGTGTCATACGGCAAAAACAAATTGTGAATTTATTCTCAGTTGCCCTATAATTGCCAAAAGAATTCATAACTCTGAACTTAGAGATGACATGTATACTTCCTTCCTCTATGATTGGTTGAAACATTGACATCTCAGTTGTTTTTATGCTACCGTGAATGTGTGTATCCTATAAAAAGAAAAAATAAGCGTCTCAATTTAAAAATATATAGATCTTGATATAGTACGTAGATATTGATATTTCATAACTATAAGAGATACTTTTGTATAAAAAGTTTACAGAAGGAATGTAAATCTGTCTTACACTTTCATCCAAAAGGGTAAGTAGCAGTCCATAATTTTGAAGTGATATGACATTTATATTTTCCCATATGCTTGTCACTCGGGCTTTAATGATTGGATCTTTTACTCTCGTGTTCAGATCCTTTATCGCCGTGTATTTAGAAATACTCATCCTTCTTGTCCTTCACCTGCACATATAATTTCATTAAATATTTATATTCAACATCCCACTTAAACTGTCAATGATTCAATGAATCAGTATGAATGAAACTAAGGAAACAAATAAAGGTTTAATGCAAATATTATATTATAGATTATAAATAGATAACAATAATGGTATATATGATATACCTTCTACCAAGTTGTTGAATATTTCTCTATACACTACATTCTCTGTTACACTTTCAGTGTTCATTTCACTATTTTCAATGAGAATTTTTAGACCTCTTGGTGATGTCACTCTCGAAATAGCCACATATAGTTGACCATGTGTGAAAACGGGTTTTGGTAGATACAGACCAACATGTTGTAGTGTTTGACCCTGGCTTTTATTTATGGTCATTGCATAACATGGTCTAATAGGTAATTGTCTTCTCGGAAATTTTAGCGAATTCAGGTACTCCGTTGGAAAGTTGATCTCATTTTCTTGCATATTATGAGATGTTCGGCAAAGGGAATCAGAACTAAGATATACTAAAATTTGTCCCTCAATTTTTTCCAAGATTGTATTGTTCACAATGTCTACAGTTTCATTCCTTGGTGTTAATATTGCTCTTTCTTCTAGATATTTTGTGTTTTGAAAGTTTTCATCTATGTTTGGGTAGGTAGATGAAATAATATCCTCAACTGGATTTTTAGTTGGATGAAGTATAAATTCGCGTGGAATATCAATAGTTCCATCCATATTTTGCAATTCGCAACACTCTTCTGCAGCACTTCCATTTCCAATATTTAGAACCCATCTACTAAATTCTGGTATGCTCATTTCGTTCTCATTTGATGAACTTTGTTGAATTCTCATATTCTCTGTCAATTTGTATATTCTGCATTCACTCCAAAATTTGGATCTGCTAATGGAAGCATGAATAATATCATGTTTACTTCCTCCTGGAATAACCGGTAAAATTTGTCTAAAATCACCCCTAAGCACCACAGTTAAACCTCCAAATGGTTTATCTGACAATGTAGGATTGTCTTTTCCCAATATATCTTTCAAAGTTCTATCCACTGCTTCAAATGCATGTCTATGCATCATTGGCGCCTCATCCCAAAGTATTAAAGCTGTTTGTTTTAGCAAATTTGCTTCAGGTGTACCTTGTTTAATACCACATGTAGATGTTTCTTTTAATTTAATTAGAATCTGGAATCTTGAATGTGCTGTTCTCCCTCTAGGTAAAAGAAGAGCAGCAATTCCCGATGATGCCACTGCTAGTACTATTTTCCCCTCAGATCTAAGTCTATTGATAATTGACTTCCAAACATAAGTTTTTCCTGTCCCACCATGTCCATAGAGAAAGTATAAGCCTCCTGTTTTACTATATACAGAATGAACCACAACATCATAAATTTTTTTTGTTTCTCATTAAGACCCTAAAACAACAGTTCATGCGCCCTTCTCAATTCTTCTCTATCATAGTTAAATTCTTCACTTATAATCTTCTCTTTACATTGTTGAATTAAAACTGGATCAGGAAGTGGCATACCTTGAAATTTCTGAAGACATTGACCATTTTGTAGTAGGAGATATTGTATTTCTGCCAATGCATGGCTTTGTAATTGTTTTTTTGTCATTTTCAAATTTGGGTACTGTAGAACATTAATTTGAGCTTGAAAAATACCCTCTGATAAATGCACCCAATTATCTTCCCATAGCTTTTTAGGATTGATAATTTCACAATATAAAAGTATTTGTACAAATAAATGTCTCATTTGTCTCCCTGAGGAAAAATAAGATGCTTCCTCCATGACTAATTGCCATTCATTGTCATCATCCAACAATCTTAGAGCATCACATGTTCCATACTGAATTCCATCTTTGGTTTTTATATCAGCATAGCTTGTAGGACCTTTCACTACATTTAGTAATAAACGCAGATAAAATCTTTCACCCGAAGAAGGATGGGCATAAACCAACCGACCAACACTTCGCCCCTTTTCTCTTGGTTTCCATCTTTTCTCATCCGTCTTCCATACAAATTTACTTGGTAATTCAGCATAAGTGAGATTTTTTGCTTCTGGATAAAGTTTGTTTGCTTCCATCCACGCCTTGAACTTGGTCTTCTTTGATTCAATATCATTCAAATTGTCATTTAGATTATCATTGTCTTTAAAAATAATTGATTCCTGATCCGGCAAATGAAATGGTAGCCTCTCTACTGCTGGAGTTCTGTAATGAATATCAAATCCAAATATCCTCCATATAGCCTCCGGTGCTGAGACATATCTACAATCAAGATAGTGTTGTATCTCATCTCTGTTCAATTCTTTCACTTTTGAGGATATACCATTGTTTTCCTTCTGAATAGTAACAGAAACATGATCTGGTCCTTTTGTGACATACTTAAACAAATATTTGATTGATCTTCCTCTGTTACACCATTCTACGTTAATGTGAGATTGATATTTCACGATCAAGTTTCGGTTGTACGGTACGACATAACCATTGTCTAATCTTGTTCCATTTTTCCCTATCCATTTACTATTATCCTCCCTTCTTCGGTAAATAGGAAAACCTCCATCATCAATAATCGTGTCATAAATGAATTTTTTTGGAAACCGCTTTGAACATTTTTTATTTTTCATACATGGTGAATATGGAGCTGTACTTCCACATGGTCCATGCATCATGTACTGACCAACTGCTGCATACCCATCTGGATCTTCTTTCTCATCTGGGATCTCAGCACTAATGATTTTATTAATCAATGCGGGTGTCGGATATTTGTTACTCTCATGAAGCTATAGCAAAATGTGTGCATGTGGTAGTCCACGTTTCTGAAATTCTATCGTATATACAGCTGCAAATGTTTCATTGATAAACTATGTTAGAGATTGCATAAAATTCATGTTTGAAATTAATTTTTGTAATAGATTATTTTTTTGGTAGATATATGCATAGTGGAGAAAGTAAGTTATAGTATCTTCCCAGATTATAGCATGTATTATGACAATTTATACTCACATGTAAACTACTAAACAGATTATTCCTATATGTTAGCATCAATATTAAAATCAATACTCCTAGATTGTGACCTATAATAACTAAATAATCTAAAATTGAAAAACATATTAGTTTGAACATTTTTTTCTTAAGGATCAACAACATACAAAATGAAAAATTTTGAAAAGGTCGTTGGATAAAACTACAATATAGATATTTAAAATTAAGAATATAAGCCACTGTTATTATCCGAGATAGTGTGATATCCATCTACAAATATAGATATTTAAAATTAAGAATATAAGCCACTGTTATTATCCGAGATAGTGTGATATCCATCTACAACAAATTTGATGGGGTTTATAATAGTTTAAGCCATAGTACTAAGCAACACACAATTAGATATCATCTATCTTGATACTAATCAATGTACATGAAAGATTTCATGAAAATGTTTGATTGTCTTTTTGTTTGTAGGACTTTAAATGATCACATCATTCAAAGGTACAAATCTTTTATTTGAGCTGCAAACTATGTGCTTAGCAAGCGGTATCTTGAATCCCATTTGGAACCCCCTCCCCCACCTCACCCCTAGAAAAAAACCCCACCCAGGAAATAAAAACACCAAACATCAATATGAACTCTCTGTCTGTCTGTTAACCTTGTTTTGTATGGGTTAGCAATTAGCCATGCATAATTTCTTTTATATCTTCAGATGATGAATGATTTGCTATGTTGTTTTCTCATGTTCTTCATCCAACAGAGAATATATGCTCTACCAAGTTGCTAAAGTACCAGATTTAATATATATTTTCTCTTTTAAGCAAGCAGGTTGCTAAACAAAAGTCACTATTGCTCTCTGGAAAGTTCATATTGATGAACCAAAATTCAACCAGCCAGATCCTACTTTGGTTATTGTAGATAAAACTTCAAGTATGTTTCTCAGCATCTTAAAATGAACTTTCTTGTTAAATTCGGTAGCTACCTCTTTCTTGCTGATTTTAGTACATTAAACTATATGTTGATGCTTTCTGTCTTATATGTCCTATTTGATCCTTTTGTAAGCACAGTACGCTTATTCTCTTTGAGATTGACTTTCTTTCTTACACAGTTTGGAGGCTCTACTTGAGCATAACTAAATGAACTATGTTGTGAACTTCAATGTGTTGGGCATTTTCATGAGAATTTTTTCTAGCACATAAGATTTACTAAATTTCAATATTAAATTTTTGTTGTTGTCATTTTTTAGTTGTTGTGTATTTTCACTGACAGAATTTAAAATTACTTTACCTTGCAGACCATACTGTTAATGCACATTATATCTTACATAAATATCTTATTTGTTATTATTTGATGATTATAACTACTCAGTTATGTAGATACCCAGTTTTGTTATTCCACACCTGCTAAGATATTTATGATGATGATTATAACTACTCAGTTATGTAGATACCCAGTTTTGTTATTCCACACCTGCTAAGATATTTATGATAGTTTTCTGTCCTTGGTCCTCAGTAGATACCCAGTTTTGTTATTCCACACCTGCTAAGATATTTATGATAGTTTTCTGTCCTTGGTCCTCATAACGTTTAGCTCCTGAGATATAATTTTTTTCTGTTTTATCAAATAAGATGTTTAAATAGTGAGGGTCTACCATATCTTAATGGAACTGATGGAGTAGCTCATAACCTCTTTAACCATTCTGGTTGTGTCCAGGACCCAAATAGGATAAGTCTGGACTACCAAGTACATCCACTATATCCTGGATGCACTCTTTCTCTGCAAAAAAAATCTTGAACATGCTCATCTTGACACTTATGGGATGGCATGGAACTAATTGGATGCTTAGCAATCTTGTATTTTAGTAAATTAATATTTGTTTCTACCTAATTCTAAAAGTTTACAAATTTTACATTTTTGAATATAAGTAAAGTCTTAAATTTATTAAAAAGCACTGGTACAAACATACAATACATACATGTGTAGAGAATTGTATTGTACTGATGTGTTTACATCTTGTGAAGTTACACATGCTATCAATTTTATAATGAGTATGATACAGATTTGTAAATATAAAGTACATTTAATTGACTGTTTGTTGATATAAAATGATCGTATGTATATATATTATAAAATTTTAAAATCTATTAACCAACTGCCTAATACAAATTATCATCTTTTTTCTATACATGCATGTAACATGTGAAGTAACATGTACTATCAATATCGTAATGAATATATACTTTTTTCATATGTATGTATCAATTATTAAGAAAAATTATTGTTTATATTGAATCCTTTTGAGCATCTTGACCTGCCCTTCGATTTTTGTGCATGTTGATGTGAAGGAACAATATCGAAAGTTAAGCTTATTGCTAATGATTTTGTTGCACGTTATTATTGTTAACTCTTTTGTAGTTCTAGCTGATGTTTCACCCTGATAAATGCAAGCGACTTTAAGCATAGGATGCCTTCTGAGGTAACTTGTGTTTGCTTACTTCTTATTTAAGAGCCAATCTGGATTTTAACTATTTAAACTTTTACAGCTATGAAAGGGATTTGTTTTAGTTTATCTAACGCACAATATATTTGAAGCACAAAAGAAAGGAATCAAAATCATTAGCAATAAGAGAAGGAGAAAGAAAGGGAGCTAGTAGGAAAGAGAAAGAGAAGGAGAAAGAAAGCGAGAAAGGGAAGTCGGGGAAAGAGAAGAAGGTTCAGGATTCTAGACGTGAGAGGTCTATTGACGGAGCAAGAAGAAGAGAAGAAAATTGTGCTAAGCAGGGAGTAGAAATTTCTGGTAAGGAAACCTGAAGCTTTGTTTATCATTATTATTGTTGTTATTATTTAAGAGGTTATATTTCTGTGGAGTGTCATTGCTTACTGTCTTTTCCAAGATAGGAGATTTTTATAGATAAAACTGTGAAATGATTTACTACATAGAGTGGAAGTTGGAACCGTTTCTTAAAAGATTGTAGGTTAGCCACGAGAATTGAAAATTTTAGAGCTATACATGTTGTTGTTAATGCATCATTTATGATTTTTGATTAACTATTAATGTGTTGACACGCTATGCAACTACTTATTTGGCAATCATGATGTAAATAGGCTTAACGCACGGGTTTGAATATTTTGCTCGTTCCTGCATGTATAAAATCCTTCTTGGATGCACAAAATAGGGATGTATTTTATGAATATTGGCGCTTCTCGGGTTTTATGGTGTTAGGGTATCTTTTCTGTTTTCAAATGTCAAACGTCATATGGTCTAATTTCTGATTGCTAACTAAACGTTTCAGTCTGCTGCACTGCTAAAGATGTTTTCATCTTTTTGCCAATTGATAATATATTTTGAACTTGATATTTCATCGAAGAATGTGTTCATATTGAACATTAGATGTTTTGTTTGCTTGAAGCTGGATCTGATAGGCAAACAAATTTAATTATGGTACTGTCTATTCCTTTGCTTTTATTGTTCTTGTGAAGGTTGTTTCACATACAATTTTGCCCAAAAACAATTAGTGTGGTTTTGAATCTTTTGATCAAGTCTTCTTCATGTTTCTACCTAATTCTAAAAGTTTACAAATTTTACATTTTTGAATATAAGTAAAGTCTTAAATTTATTAAAAAGCACTGGTACGAACATACAATACATACATGTGTAGAGAATTGTATTGTAAAGTCTTAAATTTATTAAAAAGCACTGGTACGAACATACAATACATACATGTGTAGAGAATTGTATTGTACTGATGTGTTTACATCTTGTGAAGTTACTACGAACATACAATACATACATGTGTAGAGAATTGTATTGTACTGATGTGTTTACATCTTGTGAAGTTACACATGCTATCAGTTTTATAATGAGTATGATACAAATTTGTAAATAGAAAGTACATTTAATTGACTGTTTGTTGATATAAAATGATCGTATGTATATATATATTATAAATTTTTAAAAGCTATTAACCAACTGTCTAATACAAATTGTCATTTTTTTCTATACATGCATGTAACATGTGAAGTAACATGTACTATCAATATCGTAATGAATATATATACTTTTTTTCATATGTATGTATCAATTATTAAGAAAAATTATTGTTTATATTGAATCCTTTTGAGCATCTTGACATGCCTTTCGATTTTTGTGCATGTTGATGTGAATGAACAATATCGAAAGTTAAGCTTATTGCTAATGATTTTGTTGCACGTTATTATTGTAAACTCTTTTGCAGTTCTAACTGATGGTTCACCCTGATAAATGCAAGCGACTTTAAGCATAGGATGCCTTCTGAGGTAACTTGTGTTTGCTTACTTCTTATTTAAGTGCCAATCTGGATTTTAACTATTTAAACTTTTACAGCTATGAAAGGGATTTGTTTTAGTTTATCTAATGCACAATATATTTGAAGCAAAAAAGAAAGGGATCAATATGAATTAAGAAAGTATATCTTGCGGCAGACAGAAGATAAATGGGGTTAAATTTTGGATATAAACTTGCATACTATTAAATCAATAAGCATTATTTTGTTTTGATCTGCTTAAAAAAACTTTAAAATAACATGAGTTATCATTTTCATAAGTAGGATAATCATATGTATCAATGTACATGTACGTCAACTAAATTTATATGAGTGTTCATGAAATTGGAAACGATAATGTGGGCATGTACATGTACGTCAAC